CAGTCCATGTGAACGTGCTCACCAGTGAGACAATCTGAATGACTTCTAACTGATCGCCCTCTACCTTGGCATCGGTAACAATGAACAGAATGCTGGTGTTTGCAAATTCCTTGGCCCATTCGGTCAGCTTCGTAAGCTTGGTGAAGAGCGAGGCTTGATTTCAAATCATCATTTCTTTGTTCTGATGTGAAGGGCATTCAACACTTACTGTGGAAAATATCAGTGAAACAATGACTACTTGCATTTGTAAGTAGAACGTATTCAACCATCCAATATTTCACTCTTTCAAATGAACTTTCACTAATTCTGAAATGTTTAACAGGAAAATGTGATTGTTGAACCATTATTTCGAAACACCTTAAAATGTGTATGGTTATTTCGCCATGCATCAAGCAGCGTGAAAACTATGATAGAAGCCCTTTTATAAAACAAATTCGACGAAAATTTTAGCGTTTAGGTCCAACTGTATAGCAGGAGTAATCCATAGCAAGAATCACGTGTAATTAGAAACAACGTAAACATTTGGAAATCTAATTGCGCAACTTTAAAAATACAAGAATCTAGAGACTTGGGTAGTCATAAAATGCGGCAGAATTTCATGGTATGAAGCTAAGTTGCATTGTCAAGCAAGCATCATGTTAGTTTGCCAGTAACTGTTATAATGAGATCAAACACATTGTTTTTCAGACGAGCCACGTTGTAAAAAACACCATAGTATAATCAATGGGATCATCCTTCAGGATCAAACCAAGTTAAAATGAGTAAGTTAATTTGTAATTCTGGGTGAGGCTAAACGACACCTGTACCTAACATTTACTTTCCTGCAATAATGAATGATCAGCCCTTGGAAAAGTGAATATTATCTTCGGGATGTGTTTGTCTTCATGCCAAATATAAACTATGTTGCATCGTTGCCACAATTGGTCATTGTGAAGCGTTGAATAATTCAAGAGAATGAACAAATGAAGTGGACGTAGTTCTGATTTTTTAGCAATTGATTTTAAAGTAAGTTAGTTTTTTAATATGTGGTTTTCGTGAAAATGTCGATTACGCAAAAACCATTGCTTGAAACCTATACGTAGTTGTTAAATACGGACAAAGTCCGAGCACACTCCAACTTACGCCATGCTTCTTTCATGTCACACATTCCCAGAGCATGTAATTTACTTTTTAACCATTTATCACCCCTACCTCACTTCTCAAGTAGATAGCAAGAATGTGCAATTCAGAGGGCTAAATTATGCCAGAACCGGTTTGGGAAATGCCCCATTTCTCCTCCACATGCCACTTTGTCGACCTCATTGGTGATTCCCCTTCTATTTAAATATACGACATTTTAGAGGCTGTTTAAAATCCTAAATTTATAAAATACATCTGAATAGGATATATTTGCCCTAGTTTCTCAGTTTAAATGATTTGATCTTTGAATTTAGATTCCTAAAAAGAACAAGATCCATCAGGTGGACTAGATAATTCTATAAACACTACCACGGCTCGTTAAAATTGATGAATGTTTCGATGTTTCTGTTACATTCCTCTTGTAACTAATAAGCCAGGCTTAATCCTTCCCCATTATACGATGCAAGGAATACAGTTTCAATGGGTAAGTGGACGAAAAGGGTACCGAAAAATATGACAAAAGTTCAGAGCTTTTCTTCCGAGATTCGCTAGAGCATATACTTGTCCATAAGTCACACCAAACCTGGGGTGGAACTGGCTTCACCAAGCGTCCTTTAGCGCGCGTATTTCCAGTCAGGTGGTACCAACAGACTCGCGTCTGATTGGCCGCCAGACCCTTGCAATTCCCAATCGATGATTCGGTAGTGGCTGCAGGTTCTGCATCGTGCGTTCGTGGCCAGAAGTTTAGGCTTTCATCCAACAGATTAGGCTTTTGGATGTAGTGACGGTGACCTCAGCAACTGACCGATAAAATGGCACTGCTTGTCCTCATCCTACTATCGGTGACCAGCCCCTTGGGATTTGGAATCAGCACCACCGAAGTAGTGGAACGTCAGGTTACTGTGGGATTGGAGACAGAATTTGTTTCCACTACTGCCCCTGGTGATCTATTTCAAACTTCATCTGCTGAGTTACCAGTGGTTTATTCAGTTTCACCGACAACAGAAGAAACTACTGATGGACCCACTTCCACATCTGAACACAACACTGTCTCGACTGTTATTACCACCGATATAAGTGAAACTCAAGTGAAGGAGTCTGACAGTTATTCAACACCAGTCGACGAAAACACAAGCGAGACCACATCCATATCTCTACAAATGAGAACAGCACCCCCACAGCACCCCTGTGTGATTGATGTGGACGAGAGTGAACCGGAATTTCAGCGTTATGTGTGCACGGGAAATTGGGTCATTTCACTTATCGCCACCACTTTTCTGCTTACCATGATATTCTTTGCTGTTTTAAGTAAGTTATTTAATGTCACATTTTCTTTATATAACGTGAAATCTTGCTCTTATTGTGGCAATTTATAGCCTGACGTGAGGGAAACTTTTGTGTTAAGAAGTCTCAATTTACACAGCCGAAAAGTATCATTCGAGGCTGAGTCGAAGTTCGTACCTCAGGTTACTAGATTCATAAGATGTTAACAATAAATGCTGAAACTATAATAATGGTGATTTCTTGTTGCTTTAACGCCGTGATTGGAGAACATATTGCTTGTTAGGCGTAGATCCTCTGTCCATAAGAAGCAGCTTTATCTTGTTGCAAACATTTAACTTTATAAGTTCAACGTAAGGATCATTTCTCTCCTTCCCTAACTAAGCAACATCATTTTCGTTTTGAAATAAATTAGCGGGATTCATTGTAGAGATCCTGTTTCGTATTTTGCTGTACTTACTAAATTTGTTCCAATTTAAGATTTTGTGGCTAGAAATGTTTGACTAAGCCGCTGTTGAAGTACATGCAGGGGGGTTAATGAACCGGCGGCCTCACGTGACAGACGGGCACGCCGTGAAAAGGGGGGAGGTGTGCGTGAGGCTACGACAACTGGCCGTGAATCAATAGGAGTCACAACACCGCTCCCATGAGGACCTCAGTTAATTGCTGATAAGTGCGGTTTTCGGTGCAACGCGGACTGAAATACAAGAGCTTGAAGGTTTAGGTTTAGCTAAATTAAGACGCCTTGATTTCCACTACAGCCTTCTCTGACAGAGAAGCATTTAACAATTTTAGAGGGGTTTAAAACATTTAAAATTCATGGGGACTTATATGGTTTTTCATTACCAAAATTTTTGTCCCACATCTTTTATTCGATAAATGCCTTATTGTCGGTGCTTGAAGAAAAGCAAAAGCCATCGGAGTTTCAACTCTCTGGTGTCGGATCACCCTAGTCCATGTTTTGGATTTGCAAAATAGCCATTGGCAGATTTGTGTCTTATTTAAGTGGTGATTCGTGTTGATTCACGTTAAACGCCCCGGTCGTCGCAGCCTCACACACACGTTCCCCTTTGCCCGTCAGTCACTGGGACCGCCTGCTCATTCACCCCTCTGTGCGTACCACCACCACTCCCCTTATCTATGTGACCATTCAGACGCCTGTATTTCTACTAGTACACTCAACTTGGTTGAGCGGCCTAGTAAACGGCGTGGTTCAAGACAACATGCCAGGACCCTCAACAAATACTTTCTTTGAGAGGGACATTCCTAAAAATACAGTATTTGTAGATTGAAGTTCCGACATATTGACATCAAGCCTTGTTGAATGTCATTTGTTTGTATTTTCTTACAGAAAACACTCTCACATGGGGCTTCGTAAACTTGGTTGATGTACGGAAAGCTGGTGTGAGTTTCCCACAACGACCCGAGCTAATTGTTCTCCTTTGTTCTACCATACCAACGATCTTCACAACGATTGCCCGACCACTGTTCTACCCCTACCCACTGAGGTACGCCCAGTTTATCAGCGAGGTTGGATGCATGCAGGCGCGGCAGTTCTTTGATCTGTTCGCCCGCACTGCAGCCGTCTACCACATGGTCTTTTGGGCCTACCGCATGCCAATTATCCGCTGGCTCTGGAGAAACTACCTACGTTTCAACGCCTTCCGAGCAGTGTGGACCAAGGAGCACATTATTGAGGTGTTGCGTGACAAGTTTGCTCCTGAGAAAGACGATAAGTTCCGTCGGATGTTTCAGAACTCTCCTGAATCCATGTTCTACTACGCTCAGTTCCTCCAGTCCGGCCTTCCAATGCAGTACTTGCAAAGTCTCATGAAACCGGGTAACCGGAGTCCCTCGATGTCCACAGCAGCCATTGATGGGTTGATGGGTCCCAATCAGGCATTGGTAGGGGGAGGGCACTTGCGGCCTGGAGGCGGAGATGGATCCGACGTCCTTCCACGTGTCAATCTCGGCCACCTTCTCAACATCGGCTCCGACGAAAACACTTCTCCCAAAATAACGCACTATGGGAGTTTCCTAGGTGCGGGGGGCACTTCTCCTTCAAAACTATCCAGCGGTGCCTTTTATTTGCCTCAAGGAGGCTCACACCAGGTTTCACGCAACACTAGCTTCCGCGGGTCGGCCCAAAATCGACCAGTGCCACTCCTATTGAACACAGAGGCGGGGTTCAGTCAGCATCTGTCGCCAGACGATGCAGCGAATTCCGCGATGTTTGACAGACAAAGTTCTAGTTCGCCCGACATGCACTCACTCACATTACCGCCAGCATTTTCGAGTCAGGAATTGCTCTTTCCTGGACACGGTCAGCCCTTAGGCTTGGACTTTCTTGCCCCTAATGAAAAGAAGGCAAAAGATGATGAAAGTATTATTAAGCCACCAAGCCGGGAGTTCGTATACATCTGCAAGCATGCCATACCTGGGGTGATCTATCTTCTCTCGATATTTGCTACCCTTCCCTCCATATTTGGCTTCGACATGTATCAATATGAGAGCAAAATTACCACTGCTTACTTCTACTTCGACTTTATTTTTATCGTCCTTTTTCCAATGATTCTAATCACGGCCGCTTTCTACCACGGCGTGCTTGCCAAGACCCAGCTTAACGGGGGCCCAAAGATGCGGTTCCGGTTGCGGTGCTACTACGTCAACTTTGTTGTGCTTAACATGCCAATGCTCTTCCTTATGACCACAGCAATGGCCTATCGCATAACCCTGAGTCGCGTAGTAGAGACTGAAATGTATGGAACTGGCATTGTGATTGCACTAACCGCTTATCATGCTCAATTTGTACTGAAGACAACAGTCTACACCACAGGATGCAATTGCATTTGCTGCCCGGAGAGGTGCCTAAACAGAAATCCCCGCTTACGAAACTGCATAATCACGATGGTGACTCCTAGGAATAAGGCCGCTCTCCCAGCAAACAAGGACGATGGTGAAACCGAAGACGAATTTGACGCCGAAGAAGACGAGCAAAAGAAAACAGTCCCAAGGGACCCATTTGGCCAAGGAACGGAAATTCAAATTACGCCTCCCGAAACAGCTGTTTAAAAAGTGGTTTATTTATGTTGAGAAAAACACTCATTTAATAAGTTATCATTAGAAGTCAGTACCATGCAATTTCTAATCTACAATAATCTATCAAGAAATTAAAGTTGAAATGATTTCACAAAACACGCGATTGTGAAAGCCGCCAACAGGAAGTTCTGGCCTTGACAACCACAGTACTTTTGGCACTTCCAATGAGAAAGGAGAGTTGAGCGGCGTGGTGAAATGCGCTCACGATGGCCCAAACCGACGATACTGCATCTTCTCCACAGCCTCGTGCTGTTAATTGATCGTGTGTCCTTTGACTTTGACTTGATAATAGGCAGAGGATTACTTCTGCAACCACTAACATTGGTGTGGTGGTCAATATCTAGAACAAAAGCAATTAATTCGCATCCATTGCGGCTTTTTCCTAATCTCTGCCACTTGAGTAGTGATTTTGCACAAGTTAGATGTTTGAGTAAGTCCTACTGTGTTCACCACCCAGTGATGTCTGGCGAGATGAAGGAAGTAGCGAAATACAATGCGTTAAATTGCATGAATGGAACTCTAGGGGTGTTCGGTAGAGGCTATGCCAACCAGGTTGTTGCGCTTGTGTAGATGATGCTAGTCCATTCTCGCGTTTTCCAGACACACGGGGTAGAGTAACAAATTGAAGATGAAAACGAGCCATCAGTGCAAATTTGGCACGGGAATGTGGCCAAGTGTCATTGAATCTCGTGTGTAAATGGTCTGAGTGCTGTGAGCTGACTTTGACAAACGCTTATTAATGCCAACTGAATGGAATTCAGGCGTAATATAGCAATGTAGACCATTGGAATTAATACCACAAGAGTGACTCAGTTAGCACGGAGATAGTAGCAGCCGTTGTGTCAAAATACGTGAAGATGGCTCATCCGGGCTGATAGCTTGGATTGCTAGGTGCAGCAAATGTTCATCATTGTCTTTGCTGGCGATAAGAATATCATCAACATGGCTGCTCAGAGCTTATCAGGGGCATATCGTCTGGCCTTGGTGGTCATTGGCGGACCTTTAGTCACGATGTGATGTATGAATTGGTGAGTAGGTTCACAGGGCGCCTGAGTCACTCTGACAATCTTGGAGAACTCCTTCAAAAGTTTATCATATCTGTTAGAATCAGGCAATGCCAGGTGGATTCCAACTGAATTTATTGCAGCAGACTCTTCGAACTGATAGTGTTGTATTTGAGTCCATAAGCTTGCGTTGTGCCATATCAACCAATGGACCAAAATGGGAAAGGAAGTCATCACCAATTGTTGGGCGTTGAACATCACCCACGGTAAAAATGAAGGCAAATTGTCGTCTTAGGCCTAGATCAAAAGTGAGTAACTTTTGGCCATACTTTGCAATGAGCGAATTGTTCGCAGCTTGAAGTTGAAGACCAGAGGTTTTGAGGTGGCGTTTGTCAGGTCCTGGAGGAATTACGCTAATCTCGGCACAGGTGTCAATCAAAAATTCTAAACCGCTGTGTGAATCGGTGACGTAAAATAGGCGACTAGATTGGGTGCCTAAACCAGTCGTCGCCATTACTGGACGGCGTTCTCGTTTCCCGAAGGTAAATTTGGCGGCTTGAAGGCCTGGGGGTGACTACATGGGTATTTACAGGCCTGTGCCTTGTCACCACTCCGCTGATGGTACCAACATAGGCCAGATTGGCTGGATCGGCGAAAACGTAATGAAGAACGTTTTCGACGTTGCGGATGTCTGCAGAAGCCGCTCGGGTTACCTTTAGTAAGTTCACCGAATTTCAGTGACAGTTTGTTTAGTCGTTCTTCAAATTTATTGATGCCCAAAGTGATGGAGACGGTCTCATGACCCGGTCATTGAGAAAAACACTCGTGGATTTTTTATCGGCTATCTCAGGGAGTTTTTCCAGTGGTTTGTCCGAGGTTTGGATTGAAATTATGGCATTGGTGTTCGCGGGGAGACATTTAGCCCATAACTGGCCCTCCCAGTATTCGCTGATATTCGGGTTTTTCTCACACACAACACAATTGAGTTGAGTTGGGTTTGGATCGGGCTTTAATCACACCAATAACCCGACACAAGCCATTCCGTCAAATGCTAAACAAGGACAAATGACCACGTGAGAAAATAGGTTTTTCAACATAACAATTCGACCATGTCTCAGACAACACTATACTAACAGACTAAGGCATTTGTTCCAGAAATTGAAACCAAGCGTTTTCCACTAATAATTAAACAGCAAGCACTTTTAAATTATATTAGAAGAATTCTTTTTAAAAAATCGTACAAATTATAAATGAAGAAATAGTTTTGTCAAAGCGAAGCAGTTTCAAGACGTGGAAGGAAGTTAATTCAGAAGGAAGTCAATCTCATCCCGCAACGGCCTGCCCAATTCCCCCGCCAAGTCAGCGTAGTAAACTGCCGACTCTCTGTGCCCAAGGTTTGTCAGCAGTTGGGCGAACTCAACAAACACCTGTGAGTGCAGCTCTTCTATGAAAAAAAAATTACAAGAGTAGTCAGGTCGTTCACATCAATGTCGCTAAATCAGTCTCCGGTGATAAATCAGACCTGTGAACTACTGCTGAGCTCTTCCTCAGGCAGTACTATAGATTTATACAGGGAAAAGTAACAGAGCATCGATTTGAAAATTGGTACATGTAAGAAAAAACGATTGATTATCTACTCATAAGCAGCTACACATTCCTCGCTTCTTGGATAGGGAAACCTTTAAAATAGGCGCGGCATCACAAGGAAACTTTGGGATTACTGGGAGTAACGTCTACTGTACAGGACACTAAGAGCCGTTAAACTAAAATCGAGTTAGGGACACCAATATTGCGACGGCCAAAGGATAGATAGCAATGCTCTACTAGTAATCAGATGTGCAAACATCGGAAAAACACGTTAATGTTGTACCAGTGCAGGAGTCGGGAAGAGCACCGCATTCGAGACAAGCTTCGAGGTACCTGGCCGCCAGCTGGTGCTGGCGGAGACTCCGCAGCAGGCCAAGCACCGCGGTGTGCTGACCGAGGTACACCAGAACGAGAACGGCCAGGGTCTACAATGAAGCAGCACAATGGTGGAATCAGCACAAAACGCATTTGTCGGTACCATCGATCGGAATGGGGCAAAGGGAGAGTAATGAATTGCAGCTACATTCCGACAAGAAAGTACTACTTACAAGAGCATTATTTTGCGCAAACTCTAGCTTAAGAGGTATACCTTACGATTAGCCTGTGAGGCGAGATGGGCTGCCCACCGACGCATAACGTCATTGCACTCTTCTCTGCTCAGCATACACTAAAAGGAAAGATTTGAAAGGAGGGTGTTTGCACAGCAGATGCTTGTGTGAAAGGACTGAGCTGTGGAAGAAAAATGGCCGAACACAAACACGCACTTTGGCCAACCAAACAGCAGTGCCCCATTCGTTGTACGCCTCCAGGTACCGACAGGCCTCCGAGTGCATTCCCAACATGCAGAGCATCTCCACGCCCTCGTAGAGGCGATTGCTGGAGATGAGGCTCGCGGCCAACAGCTTCACCGAGCTTGTGTAGTTCATCTTGGCTGTGGAAAGCGACTCACTATCGCCTTCAGCAGCAGCAGCAGCGGCGACGGAGGCGGCAGACTCCAACTCGCAGACATACTTGTGCGAGGCTAGGAGACAGGCACGATGGATGTTCAGGCTGAACGAAGGCGACTCCGTTGGAGTCTCTACTAAATTCTGAAGTGCCTGACGTTGGATACCTTGGGCGGAATTTAAAAAATACAAATAGATGTTTAGGGGATCACAAGTCGTTGTTGCACAGACAAGGGGATACGAAAGCTCAAAGTAGGGATGTTAAGATTCCCTACACTAAGTGACCAAACCTAGCGCACAAACTTAAGGAAAACGATTTTACTCAAAATTCAGGAAAGTGCATGGAAGTATGTGCTGAGGGCGACACATCTAAGATTTGGATTATTCTCAAGCAGAGATCTTCCCCTCCGACATATGTTAGTAGGAGGAGGCGAGCAACGTTAAAATTGAGTTTACAGAGTTTTGGGGGAATGCTTAACTGGACCCCACATTTTCAAAGTCTTCTTGACGTACTTTTGCAGAGGCATTAATCTCAACCTTTGAACTGCATTTCCACCAAGTCACATCAATACAAGAGATGTGCAAGGCGCATCATCACCAGAAAAACAGGGCAATGTCCAAAATAATCTTAGTTTTGGTATGTGAGACATTGCGGGAGTAGTGGGCTTCACTGGACCTTCGTGGTAATTTGCCGCCTCTGTAGTAACAAGATGATAAGGCAGCGATCAGAGACTAGGCCTAAGGCAGGAGCGGTCATGGCGCTTTAATATGTGAACTGCATAAACAAGATCATCGTAATAGATATTCAAATACTTGTCTATTTCACTTTATAATGTTTGTCCCCCAAAAACGTGACCTAGTCTCGCTAAACTGCATTTATTGTTACGATTGGCACGATCCCAATCACGATACGGAGTAGACGTCAAATGCGTGATTGGGCTCTCAATCATTACCGATACACTATCAAATAAACACGGGACGCGAAAATGATGCTTGCCTAAGAGAAGGAGGAATTGCGTGCAGAGCGCGTTCTGCTCGCCAGTGGAGGGGGCCTCGTGCACCAGCCGATTGACGCGCTCGATGGTGGCCGCGCGATACGTCGCCTGCTCGGCCATCTCGTCCCACACGAGGTCGGTGAGGTTGAAGCGCCGCCAGAGGTGGCTGCCGCCCTCGCACCGGGTGTCGCGACCGGCCAGCAGCAGCTGATACGCCGCCAGTCGCCAGAATGACGTCTCGTAGGTGTCACCGAAGAGCTGCGCGGTGAGAAGGCAGCGCTCGGCTATGCTCAGGTGTGGTGACTCGAACGCGGCACACAAACGCCCACTGCGAAAGACAAGTGCCCCATGCTCAATTTTAGTGTTGCTGTGTGCGTGTTTTTGTGTTTCACAGGGACATCAATTAATTCTCTCCGCTAGAACTGATTCCCCTTGGCTGATCACACAAGTGGCTCCCTGTGTTTGGTTAGTAGGGATACGAGAATGGAATGAATTCCTGAAAAAATCGGTCCCAGAATATTACTACGAGGTTCCCCGATGCATAGATCTAAATGAGGCCGAAAGTAGAAGGCACAAGACGACTTACTCCTTTCTACACGCAGCGAAAAAGCGGTCAGCTGAGGACTGAACACTTGCGAAGTTGCCACTCAGCTTGGGACAAGCAAGCACAACCTTGCTGGTGCCCGTTCTGCCGGCTGGGCCATCCGCGGACTCGGGCACGGCCGTTGAACGCCACGGCTGGTGCTGGAGCAGGTGGCGAACCGTCAGAGCAACATTGGTGGGAAGCAGACTCGGCACGAGCAGAGACTCTAAAACAGAGGTTGATCGGCAATGGCTAAACCAGTGAGTGCAGAGAGAGAGAGAGAGATACACGCAAACTCGTGACAGGTGTCTTGGCTTTAATCTTGGATTCGGGCAGCACCAGATTCTAAGCATCGACACCACTATGTAGGTGTGCGCATGCGTGAATAAATCCTGCTTAATAAATGCTTGGATCAAGTTAGGACGGCAACCTCACGCGACAATTAACCAACAAACCTGGAGCGAAGACCTAGGGACTGTATGAGGTTTACTTTTCTGAAATTTAACGCAACCGCTAAGCTAACGACGGTGAGTCATCCTTGCGAAGAAAATCAACAAACTCAGAAGCTTGTGGGGGCGATGGGTTGTGGATAAATCCACCTTAATATCTCACTAATCTACGCGTGGGTTTCGACTCGGCTTGTGGTATAAGTTTTTGCTTATATTATTTTATTTACGTCCTAATGTGCAGTTCCTGACATTATTCATAGTCAAATATTAAAAAAGACGTCCTTGGTTTGCCGTTACTCGGTGTGATGCAGCAAAACAGACTTGAGACTTGTGATTCGTGTTTATTCATATCCGTTAATCCGATCGCTCCGCCTCCGACACGGGGTTCTCCTTTCTCGTAGCATATCCCCAGCCGCGCGGATCCTCCCCTCCCCCCTCATTCACACGAATAGTTATCTTGGATTAACCTCACACCTAGGTCTCGATGTTAGTGCACGTATGACTCACACATCCGAGGTATAAATACACACGAGCAAACCCCACACACGACACAACGACAATAACGGGATTGAGTTCTGAAGTAAACGGTTGTGTCCACGTCCTCTCCCGTCTTTTCCTTCATCGCGGGTATCAGGCAAGCGTAATAGGGCCAGGGTTAATTCCGTGGCCCCGGCGTGGTTCGAGATCACATGCTGGAGCCCACAACAATTGGTGAGCCCGACGTGATCTTTTTCTTCATCGCGGATATCAGGGAAACATAATCGAGCCAGGGCTTCGGCATGGTTTAAGACTACAAGCTGGGGTCCACAGCAAGACTAGGAGCAGGAGCCGGCATGTGAAGTAAGTGAGGGGGGAAGCAAGTCTGTGAGGGGTGGTGAGAAGGATCACGTCGCACAATGACAAAGGTTAGCATGACATCACAAATTCCGTCTCAATAACAGATTGCGCCTGAATTGGAAGGGGAGGCTTGTCCTAACGTACAGCCGACAGCCTTAGCAGGCATTACAGAAATGATAAAAAAGTAGGTGTTACACTGACCATTGCTGTGTTCGTCTGCTGCGAAAGGACTGTTGAATTCGAAATGCGAGGCTGGAAAGTACTCGCCGGGGAGCGCAAGCGAAGCATCGCTGTCCCCCTCACCAGGAGGCCGGCTAACCGATGGGGGGCTGACGGCTGCTAAACGAATTGAACCGTCGGAACCAAGCAAAGCACAAGTAGGTATTGGACTGGATTGAACAGGAACGGCACTAATCCAAGCGGCATCAACCAGAATATTCTGCGGCCCATTACCAAACCGAGATACACAGAGCAGTATCATCTGACAAATGTAAATGATAAATAATAACTACTTAAGTATGGTAAGTATATTTACTTTTACCAAAAAAGAAGTACCCGTCTCGATTCCCAAACGGTAACACCGCCAGTACACAGGACAAGCAAAATGCAGGACGATCCACCGCCACCAGACAAGAACTCCAATTTTCTGACACAGCTCGGGTTCGCCGATTCTGCGCTAGAACCGGTTTCTGGCGGCGCAGGCAACCGACCGGTGCTGCTGGACGCCTGGTCGGAGACGAGAACGGCCATGTAGCGTGCGACGGTCTCTTTGGTCTGCAGGTTTCTAACCGCGACACAACCGTCGGCCATGCCGAAGGCAATCATCGGAGAGCACCACGAGGCGCAGGTTATGAGGTTTCGTGAGTAGAAGGGCAGACTTTGGACTCTAGGCAATTGCGAAAAGCATGGAAAATCGACTGGCACGCAGGGCCACGGATTAAGGCTCGTCAAAGTGGGTGTAGATGAAATTAGAACAAGCAGAAAGAGAAGACACGGCCTTTTAAGGATTTTCGCCTGCCTCAATGAACACAGGAAATATGGCAGTAAAGGGGTGTGGTGTGAGCTTTTGTTTGAAGACAAAAAGAAAAAAAGGAAGCCCCCAGTGGAATAGTGGTGCTAATCAACAGCTGGCAATAAGCCAATTGTTTCGTAGTTTAACGAGGATAGAAGTAAATCAGCTTAACTGTCGAACAAACATGCACACCAGTTGAAACAAACTTTCACAAATCCTAAATCTAGTCAAGAAAAGGTCGAAGGATGAACGTGGGGAAAGGATTTTGAAGCCGTCAGTAAATAACTCAGAAATCAGCTAATTTTAGATTCCCAAAATCATCAACAGCCATTGATTAATAAAGCTTTCATGGATTGCTCTACATTCTAATTCTAACCTGATTATCTTTACTTTGGTGAGAAGAATGGCGCTTCTGAAAACATTTAAAGTACGTAGCACTAAGAGAGCGAGTAAAACCAGCATATGGCGTTGAACGTATTCGCATAATTTGAGCGAAATTGCTCAGCCAAAAAACGGAGATTTCTGATAGATTAAAGAATAGCATTGGAAGAAAAACTTAAAAATTAGGCTTTACCTACAAATAATGAATAATGACTTAAACCTCGTGTCACTAATAGGCAAAAACATGTAATGACAGCCTCGTTTGCAGTTTCTGTCATGCAAATTGACCTAACAATGATATTCATAGGGATACAAAAAGGCGATTCAATCAGAATGCCACCATGCGCGCGCGTACACGCCACAATTTCACTACAATTCCGTTAGCTAGATTATGCGGCATGACAGGTACCCGATGACGCTTAAAGGGAAGAATTTACACGGAGAGTGGTGGTTAGCAGAGAGCGAAAGCTGGGGGAAGGTGCGCTAACAGGACCCACATGGTGTTGGAAATGGGCATTGTATCCATTTTGGAGCCTTGCATTGTAAACAGATGCAAACTAACGGGCGACGTGCAGAGGATGAATGTCTCGCGAACGAACAACTCCAGTAAGTTGGGTTCCTTCGAGGGTGTTTGCGGTTTCGCCTCAGCAGAATCGGTGCGGCAACTTCTGGAAATGAACGATAAATAACAAAGCATCGGTGTTATGGACGCGGGTTCTAGCTAAGCTTGTACGAGATGAAGTTGACTGAAAGCGATTTAATTTATCCAACTCACTAAAGTACTACCGCTGGAAGTCTTTTTTAGTTTAATTAAAAAAAATGAACTAATACAAACTCAAGCTAGTACAAGCGCCTGCGGTTTTGGTGCTTCTACGCAGATTTCCAGATATGTACAAGTGCTCTAATTAGATGACAAGACAATAATGTAAAATTGGAAAGCGCGTATCCAGGGCAGTATGATTAAAGATCGAAGTCAGTGTTTTGCGTAAACATGAAAGAGATACAATGACCTCATGACGCATGCACGCATCGACATCGGCTACCACGGTCTCCCAAGGGGGCGTGCGCGTCGAGGAAGCCAGATTTCCCCACGACTATACGCTTCGTGTTGGTGATAAATTCGCTGGTTCCTTCCCTACACAAGTTTTCATGCTCATTTCGACCACCTCCACTTTATCGGCAGTGGTCGGGGTCATCAAAGGCAATAAACGCCCTTTCGGTGTTACAAAGTTGAAAGTACGAGCAATAAACAAGCCTCTGCAGATGACGATTTAAACGATTTCAAGCAAAGGCTTAAGTCAGGAGGCGAAAATTTAGGGTGAGTTGCACTTTATTGAGCATGTAAGCGCTAACGTGCACCAGAACCGTGGAAACTCTGGCCAAATCGACCGCAGTGACAACAATGGTTAGGCCCAAGGTCCACACCCGGCAAAAAGGCGATCGAATGAACATTAAACGTAAATACACAGGCTACTTATTTTATTTTAGGTCAGGAAAAGTATTCGAAATCAAGCAATGAAGCCCCAGCAACCGGATTAAACAGTGGCAAGGGTTACCTACCCGTCGTGTGGCGAGGAAGTGGGATTCGGATGGTTCACAGTAGACCAGGTCTACAGTAAATAAAGCGTACCTTGTTGAAGAAAATAGTGAATAACAAGTTAGCAGCCATTGAGCACACAGCCATTGACTCACCAAAGCTACTGGTCGTGAATTCGGGATGGAGAAAGACTTGAGAATGACCAGGTTACGGGCGTCCCAGATCTCGAGTGGCCAGTTCTCGTAGAGAATAGCAAGGTACTGTCTAAAGGGATACATAGAATATTATGCCTATATTTGAGGCAAACAGTAGACGCACAAAAGTAGCAAATCCGGGATCAACAAGCGACTGACTTCGAAGCCACCAATGAGAAATTGGGGCAGCAAAAGAGTCCTCGATAATGGCAAGGATGCTCCAAAGGGGAAACAAAACGGCGAACAACACTTTTTTTGGGTCGATTTTAAACCAGCTCACTTCTCGGCAAGTCAATTTTCATCAAAAAGGTTGACGTGGTGAGATACTTGACAGAAAATCACGTGAACTGCAAGATGAAAAATTAAGCTAGGGAGGCGTCTTCACTTCTACCCTTTTTCAAGATGGTGAGGTTTACAACCAAAAGTGCAACCAAAATTGCCCTGAATAAAAACCATAACAGAGTAGTGCTGGAACAAACGTAAAACACAAGCCTCTATACGAAAAAAACTCCAGTCATACCCGAGATTGCTGATTTTCATTAATCGAATTGGCGTGATATTGGCAGCGGCACAGTCAGTCATCTCGGAGGCAACCTTTAGCCACCGGCTTGGCTTAATCGCAGAAGCCGGTTTCTGCATGGCCAGCTTGAGAAGGTGCAGCTCCTTGGTGTCGGCGCTTTGCACAAGCACCTGCTTCTGTCGCCCAGTTTCAAGGTCAACGCGCACGACGGTGTTCTTGATCACGGGGGGTGCCCTCGGGGAGTCGGGAGGGGACGCGCTGCACCCGCCCTCGGAGGTCTGCCAGCCGTGCGCAAAAAGCGCCAGGCGACCGCCGCCGCCACCGCCGCCTTTGTCCGAGTCGTCGCCGGGCGCCACACCCCACGCCAAGCCCCGCACAGGCACGCCCATGAGGAGGTACTCGCGCCACAGCCTGGATGTGCTTAGGTCCCAAATCTGACAGTAAACACACGTTAACCTACCTATTATCATTATATCGAGGGCCATCAACTACATAAAGAGGAAACATGGTCGAGTACATCAAAAAAGGGGAAGACGGCAGTCGAGAACGTTGGCATTAAGATTTTAATCATTCAGTTGACTATAGAGGTAAATTTAAGAAGTTGTGATAGGCCATTCGCGGCGCAAGGCACACCTTTAGTACTCGGTCTCAAACGGGCTTCAGCATCAACTCCAGTCACAGCTCAAATTTGTCAGGTTTGTGACATGTCCTCCACACTTAAATAGTAAGCACAAAATTGGGCGAAGTTACTTGCTTTTTCCGTCTTTAAAACATCACAGGGACGAGGAATACTGTGAAAGCTCAAAGTAAAGTAAAGGCGTAAGAATTTTGGCCTTTTCGTGCAGTTAGGGCGAAAGTCAGGTGTAAGAGCACTAACCTGGACGCTGCCACGCATTGTGCCCACAGCAATGAGCGAGTTGTGCTTGGTGTTGGCTACCGGAGGCACCAGAAAATGGGACGGGCAAATACAGCACACCGACGCGGAGGAGCAACCACCGGTGTGGAAACCAGTGAACCGGAGGCGCAGGCAACCTGATTCCTTTTCGCTACACCACAGACAATGAAGTAAGTGTGCCAATAGAAAATACGCCAAGCACATAAAGGAAACATACACAAAGCCTGTCATCAAGATACTGCTTAACGCTGAAATAGTGTGCTCGCAAAAACAAATCTAAGGGAAACCTATTAAAACCAAACAATGGTCTATTTTAAGGAACAGCATAATTAAAAGTTCACAAAAAAAGTGGGAAGCATGCTTATAGGCGAGAACAGTACACTGATGTTAAACAATAATTTAAAAAATTCCACGTTTAAACATGTGTGTAGTTCAAAGATTCGCTGTAAAATGAGGTCACTTTAAAATGACAGATTTTGTTACCTACGCCACACTGTAATTGAACCTGCACCAGATTAAATTCTTCTGCAAAATTATTTTTCTATGAGAAAAAACATTTTCAACTCTACACAGCACCTAAGCCTGTCCCAGAGACTATCAGAATGAATCGTGACACGTTAGGTAATGGTGCATAAATGTAAAACCAGTTGTAGATAGACGAAGCTTGAACAGCTAATGAACTGTACTAATCCATTTAATAGTTTTTATGAGGCCACACCCAAACAGTGTGTAGATGATGCCTATAACATTCATTATTATTATATAAACAGACATAAACTCACTGTTTTACTGGGTCTATTGCCTTTATTACATCGGAAAGTGTCCATAGCGGCCATCCGTCCTCAGAAGTAATGTCAGATTCTATTGACAAAAACTTAAAAGAGAGGAACATTTGTTTCAAACTTAAGAATGTCAAAAACCAAATGCAAACGTATAAATTGAATTGACTACACTGTTTCAACATTGAGAAAACGTGGGTTGGCTCACCTGCAACCGGCCATCAGACGTCGCGACTGTGATAGTCAATTCAGTGCTCGGATCCACTGCCATAGCAACAACATGGAAGTTTCTGCCCCGCCGTAAAGACTTCGACTCACACATAAGACGATAATTTAAATCAACGGGAGCCGATGGCGTTGCCTTGTCTTCCTGAGATAAATCTGGCGCCTGCATACACCAATATAGGCTTACAGTACCGTTTTGATGCAAACATACCAGAGCATCAGCTTGACGGCAGCAGTAAACCTTCAGAAAATATAAAAAAATGGGCTTAATATTCACTGTGACATAAAGATTTCTATACTGCTGGTATCGGAAGTAGGCATAACTTAAAAACAAACATAAACATTACGCAAAACAAATATATAAAGTTTGAAAGTCCAAAAATCATTACTTGCACAACATGTTACTCAAGGCCACTCAACAAGCCAATGAAGGTTAATAAAAGAATGGATGTTTTAAGAAGTCGATTGTACACGAATAGAACGCAGAATAAAATAACATTAGTTCATGAATGCTAACAGTAAAAATCGACTTACTTGTGCAAATGAAGGCGAGGAATGGTCTAATCGGATTTCACCAACAGATTGTGAGAGAATAAGATCAAAAATTACAATTGTTCTGGAGTAAACAAACACAGCGTGTTGTTTTCGGAAACTGTGGTAGAGAATTTGAAGGGGGTTCTCTACACTAGAATCATCGCCGCTAAGTGGAGGCGTCTCAACATTCCTTAAAATTAATGGCGACAATATTAACCCTTTCATGGGCACAAAAATAACCTCGCTGTCAGTCGCTCACCTGCTCGACTTTGAAGGCCGAAAAAGCCCTTTACTAATCACAGCTTTAGCAGTTGCTTTAATTGATTGCGAAAACCTTTTCCGGGCGTGGTCGGTACTGACAGATTCATTAAAACCTTGAAATTACTGAATCAACAAATGGGATAAATTACCGGGGTCTGACAGTTGCACTTCCCTTCCAGGAGACAGAGGAGATGAATTCCACGATAAATCACTCACCAATACAAAATTATTATAACCATGCACTAGTGTGATGTAAATTTGAAAATGCAAACTCACAAATTAAGTTCTGAGATGAAAATGGGTCTAAAGATACAGAAGTGAGGTTTGAAGAGTACGTTTTTTTCCATAAAGGGGTACAGGTCTGAGCGTTCCACAAAGTGAGCTTGCTGTCAGTATGAAGAACAAGAAGGAGGTCACGAGATATATCTTGATCGGAAATCCAGTGCATAGCTTGAAACATATGTTAGGAAGAGAAAGCATACCACAAACGCCACAACCGGATTCAGAGGCTTCAGAGAGGGGAGATGCAGTAACGACATTCCATATGATAATCCGACCTGAGGTATCAGCACTTGCAAGTCTGTGATTGTACGGGTTTTTTGAGTCGTGGTAATAGTTTTCTGGAGCCCATGCTAGCTGGATTGTGTTAACACATGAAAGCAAAGTGTCAATTAGCATTAGCAAAAATAAAGCCAGACTAAGACGCAATATACCAACGAACGAAAACAAATGATAAAGTATAGAAGACTGTGATGGTTCATGTAAAAACGGAAAATAAAGAAGAAACTCGAGTAGTTTCAGCAGAACAAGTTCAATAGCCTACCTGAATGACAGGAGCTGTGTGGAGATTAAGTGTTTGAATGATCTGAAGAAACGAGTAAGAAAAAAACACACTCAACCCTTATGGATTTCGATTCAACCAGTGAAATGCAGCTACCAATTGCATAGGCAACTAAATGTTGCCAACCACTACTAGATTAGGAAAAAAAATTATTTAACCTGGCAATGGCTCCCTTAGATTCTATAGCTCTACAAGAGCTAAGTATCTTCGGGCGAATATCCATCAATCAAAATACTTTCGTAAAATGTTGCAACAATAATTTAAGCCAAAACTGATTTGAGTACTGCGGGTTGAAATCAGTTAATTGTAACTTCAGCAATAGAACTGTGTAAAATTTTATTCACAGTCAGAATTTTTAGATCAGGATATTTGACAGCATACAGTCGTTTGATACAGAATAGATACATTTTTTCTGTATTTTTGGCACATATGAACAGGAAATATGGCCTACGCCAATAACGCCATTTACACGTAAGAGATGATTGCTTAAAATTTTAAAACTCTTATAAGATATGAAGCAATTCGAACGGTTTTCCTCAAATTACTAAATTTTATGTGACTAATTTGAGGTAAAAATTAAAATAAACAGATTGAATTTATTCTAACAAGGAAAAATGTTTGCTAACTACTTTGAAATCAGCGTAAATCCCATGGAAAATGCTAAGTGTGCCGTGGAATCAAATAATTCTCGTTGTTATTAATCGATGTCAGAAAATAGAAAAAATTGTAGGGCCTCATTATGCATTGTAACGCGTGTGCTGCGAAGCTACCATCAAGACATGGCCTGTAAATGTCACCGAAACTTTCACACAACTGTGGTTTTCTTAAGATAGCATTGTTTGTTCCGAAGGACCTGTGTTAAAGTTGCGCTAATTATGAAGTTTGAGGGATGTTGCGTTGGCTTACTGCGGAAGCAGAGTCCATGTATAATTGCATCTGTTAGTCAAGTATTCAATTAAATGTAGAGCACAGAAATTTATACTTAAGTCCTATTTCTCGTATACTACAACAAAGCCCTACAAGATTCTAAGGTAAACAAAGAGATGGGGGCAATAATGAAAATACCTTTGACATGGGCCCGTTACTAAACTCTGTTTTGGTTTGGTATATTGTGGAAGAAATTTCTCAAAAACCTGATATTTCAGAAATGCATCTCACACGCATTCTTCCTTAGATGAAACATCGCATGTGATGTAGAGCAAATTATCTAAGCAAAAATCTATTGACAAGAGTCGTTGTTCAGATTTGCCAACACTTCGCAAGCAACTTCGTAGCCTGACATACATCCACAGAAATCAAGCTGTCAACTTGATGGAATTACAAAAAAGGTGCATTTTCCAAACTGCATTAAAAGGACAAAATGGTAAATTCCAATGGATTTTGTCAACAATTAATGAAAGTGTATTAGCAAGCAATCTGAGACGCAGTTAAAGCGAGTAGTCCAACAAAGTGCGCCATAGATAATTACTGAAGCTTGGTTGAAGAATTACATATCATTAATAATGTTATCGATAACAACCGAAAATTATGTAGAGCGGAACTATGAGGTAATCAGAAAGATGTAAACAGTCATATGACAAATTAATTTCTGTGGAGTAAATCCCATAAAACAATAACAAATTTTCTTGCAATTCTAAACAGTACTTCGCAAGTTTTCGATTCGGTCATAGAACTAACAGCTAAAGACGTTTTGGCAATAACTTTGCTGTATCGCCCTTCCTAGCTGATGGGGCGGTTCTGGACGTATATTGTAACTTCGTTTATCACTTTTATGCGTCACCCGTCTGTCACCCATGTAAACAGGATGAATTAATCATCAAAATGAACAGTCAGCTACACTAGAGGGGAGGAATTTGACCAAGTACTCTGAATTAGCTCACATAAGCTTAATTTGTCTTGAAATTTCCAAAGATTCCCTGAACGGTATTAAAATCAAAAGTTACCATCGGGATATTGAAGAAATTGGATCCTGTTTAATCATAATTATGCAAAGAAAGAACATTTTTTTCTGATGTGCTTAAGTCCTGAAATAAAGACACTGAATTGAAAGTCAGACATTCAAAAAAGCGAATGAAACTTAGTCACGAGGAAGTGCTTATCTTCAGTGGTGTTGTGCGAAGTAATAAAAATACATCCCAGTTGAATTAACCACGGAAGTTTGTTCTATCTCAATGCCCATCGTCGGAGTGTGTTCCAAGTTAATGTCAGTCAAGATTAAGAACAGTGCAATTGCTAAGTTAACGTGCAATTTTCGTGAATTACATATCACTGAAATTCAACTGTTTGAAATGAATTGCTATGTCAAACTACTTTAACACATATCTCGTTGCCAGCAGCCTGAAACGCAAGATCTGACATGAATGAGCCTTCAATTACCGTGTAAGGCTGTTCCGATTTGAACTGCGAGCCCCATAATTGCAAACTCAAACACTCTGCGTGCTACTGAAGATTTCAAGGATAGTCGCCCCCTTGATTAATGGAGCCTGTCACGTCATCGATAAACTGGGAAATGAACGTTGCTCCAAACCCCTAGTTCAGGTGGTAGACACCACGCGAAAACACCTTCTAATCGCGTACACCCAAGGAAGAGAACCCGCCGTGGACACTCGGCATGTCACTGTGAGTTCCGTCGTTGTCATTTCGCATTCCAACAGTGAACGTGAACAAGGGATCAAGCTGCGTATGCGTATGCTTAAGTTTAGTCAAAATAAATAGATAGGTAGAATGAGTAATTCCAGTTCAGCGAATATATTACAAAAGGACTTTAAACATTCAGATTCCCATAAAAAGGGGTGAAGGATGCTCACAGTTAACACAAGATCTACTGGGCTCTGTTAGAGTAAGTCGTTCTCGTTTTATTCTAGCAAGGCTGACGCCGTGAAGCTGATACCGGGACCAAATCAAGAGTTGAATGACACCCACCACGATGACTACGGACCAGGCGAGAGTGAAACAGGCCGTACGGAGGTCCATTCCACTGGGTGGAGACGGGAGCACGTCGAGATGCGAGCTGATCATTTCCTTACCGGTTAGGTGGGAGAGCATGAGGTACCCGACGAGGGGCGCTGCAGTCTGGCCCGGTCGACTCAGCAATGAAGTAGCTCCGAAGACCAGAGCAGACACTGGCTGTGGTCGACGACTCAGTACGAGGTCCTCATCCACAAGGTCGCTTATCACTTGAGGCAAAAGCTTGCAAATACCCTCGGAGAAGACACGGTTGCTGGAACGAAAGCATTAATAATTACAAAACCCAGGTATGGTCCTGAGTTCAGGCTGATGTCTAAATTATCATTATATTTACATGGAGCTTTCATGTTTGATGAAGAAGGACTTCGCAAAAGCGTTCTGGCTGGGCAGCTATTAATATGGCGCTCAAGCCACATCGGGCAGCCAATTGTGTTTCACTGCCGATACTAGGGAAGGTTAAGAACGGTGATTACGGAGATACAACACTTGACTAGATATCCAAATCTTCTCTTTTGTCGTGTCGTAGTGCAAACAAAATCGATAATACTTGTAAGTTGCGGACGTGCACAGAGGGGACAACAGTGATTGGGGCCCGTGAACCAATAGAATTCTGAATTAGAGTGACATAGGCGCATGAGCTGGTGAAGATGAGGAGAGGGAATGTCCGAGCGTGTGATGACGGAGTTGGCTATCACGATTTAATGCAAAAGTCATATTCAAGACTCCAGTTCACACCCGACGAAATATGCATTTAGATAGATGACAATTGTCGTTTAAAAAAGACCAACTTCACCAAATAAGTGATGCGCTATGCCAAAGGTATTGAGAAAAAAACAAGTTACCTTCTACATTTTCAGCAAACATTAAACCCGAAAAAATTTGCCTTAATACCTAGATAACTAGAAGTGCAAATTCTACTTACTCTTCTCTAGAAAACGAATCACGATTGTTGAAGACTATAAAATGGCGTACCAAGCAAGGAAGACGCTCAATAATGGTAAGTTGGAAGGTCCGGAGAGAAGCAGCACAATTCCAAGGGCGACCTTGACAAAAAAGAGGCCGCGGATGACCGCGTAGGTACCACAGGCGTCACAGGCCTTGAGCAACAATACGTTGTTAACATGAGGCAGTACAAAAGATATACCTGTTAAGAATTAAAGTCATCAGTAAAGCTGTGCCAAAACCGATAGAAGAACCGTGCAGATTTTGGGAGGTAGCCATTTTTGGACCACTATCATTATCCTATGTTCTCAGTCACAGACTACTTCCCATTACAGGTGAAATGATGTTAATTCATTTGGTGAGAATTTCATGGAAAGCACGGGGATATTGAGTGCTGAAAATAAATTTCATTTGCGTCTTACCTAATATGGCAGAGATTAGTTTCTCGTGTCCTGGTCCAAGCAGCAATTTTGAGAAAAGTGGAAAGAAGTTACTGTTGAAGTGGCAATGAAAAACCTAAAACATACAGTACATAGGCCCGACTTGAAACTCGATCTTGTTACCGTTTCTTGTTTTTTCTACCGCTCAAAGAAAACTACTAAAAGCAACGAGTGGTCAAACTGCATGATTGTAGAAAACTTATTTTATTACTCGTGGAAAAAAAGAACAAGCGACCAAGTAGAAGATTAAGTAACACGGAAGAAAGATGGTTAATTAAAGCACACTGACCACAGCAACTCGCCTGAAATGCCTGCATTAGACAGAAAGCAAGGAAATTTGGGCGGCTTATGATGTCAAAGAGAAAAACAAAAATATTTTGAGACTCAGCCTTGTTGTTGAAACGGAAGCCATGATCAGTGCACTGTGGTATTGAGTGAGTAACTTTCCGGTGCACATCAACGCTAAGGCAAATGGAAGAAAGTGCTGGTTAGGCAAAGTGAACACAGGTGACTGATGCAGCAAGTACTCGTGGTACACTTGTCAACGCTTGACATGCTGGAGCCCTATGGCCTAATCAGTGTACACCATTGGGAGTTCTGCTGTTGATTTCAAACCAAATCTAAACAATATTCCAACGGGCTACGCATAACATGAGCAACTGCTTTAAATTTCACAATAGATCAAGCGAGCTGGAGTTCATGTATGAATTCCATTTATTAAAGTGTGACCAGTTAAAAATAATAGTTGGATATTTTGGGAAGAACAATGCGAAGAGCTCCTATGTCCTTCCAAGCATAAAGTACTACCACACTTAAAAATATGGTGAGGGCCGCATGGTCACAAGTACTGACAAATTGAGTTATGTATTTGCGGCGAACTCACCTTGATGAAAGCGCACCTATTGTCAGATCTGTCATATTGGCAAGCCATAACCCACCACAGAACAAACCAACAGCCGAAAAAATAGTAATAAGAACGGCACAAGCCTGAAACCCATTTGAGATTGAATGCTTTTCCGAGAGAGTTTCAGCCACATCAAAGGGTTGGTCTATGAGAGACAACTCTGCACCGCCTCCAACACACCAAGATACTACTACAAGGCCATTGACAGAGAGGGCATTACCTACTGAGGCCGCACTTCCTAGACGCGACCGGTCTACCTGTGAGACGGCTAAATCTGCCAAAAGAGAACTTTTCATTAACTCTACCAATGTCAAAGCGGTGTCGTAGGTGCACAAAACTATGACAAATCGAAGACCCGGAAAGTTGGGTAACCAATGGGGGAACCATGTAGAAAGGAAGGCAAGACCTAGGAATGGACCACAAATGCTTATAAAACGAGCTCTTTCATGGGCAATAACTTGATTCGACATCTGCTGCCTTAGGATTTTTTTATCTAAGAGCCAGCCAAATATAGGGTCATTAATTGCATTCCACAAAAGGAACAAAAATTCAGAGGTCCAAAATGAAAGTTTAGAAAGACCAAAGCAAGAAACAAATACATAAACATGGTACACAACAAAAATGTTGTGCATGAGAGATGTGCAAAAGTGAATTAACCCATATATTATGCATATTCTCAAGGAGGTCATCAACAACCTAGGGTGGTGTGGTTTGGTGTGGCGTCGGATTAGGGCGCAGACATGTTGGACCACCTGGCCTCAGCCAATCCCGTGTCTCTCTGCGATCCAATGG